AATAAATTATTACTTATAGTAAGGGCTAAGCTACTGCTTAGTAAATATATAGCCTTATTATAAGAGGTTAACTAATATTAAAAAAAGGTAAAAATAATCCTTTATATAGTAGTAATAACTTAGCTAGATATTACCTTTATAGCTAGCTAGCTTACTTACTTTAACTATAATCTAAATCTAGATTACTAAAAGGTAGTAAATTAAGTGCTTAGGTATCTTTATTAAACGTAGCACCTTTACCTTAAATATAAAGTAACACTAGGCAGTAAAAATAATATGTTAGAGGTTACTTTAGACACCTTATTTACTAATAACTTACTTAACTATTATAGCTTATAAGTATATACACTAAAGCTATTTAGAAGGCTTATTTTCTAGTAAGTAAATAAATAAGATATAGTAATAACGTTAACTACTAAGGCTAAATTACTAGCCCTATTATCTACTATAAAAGAGGCGCTTTTTACTAGTAGATTAATTACTACGCTAGGTATTTAACTATTAATATAAATAAGAACTAAATTATTACTTAATAAGTAGGTAGCTACTAAATAACTACTAACTATTTATATTAACTATAATAATACCTAGACTATTAGGCTTATTACTAAGGAGCTTATCTAACTATAGATAAGGCTATAATATATAGATATTTATAACTACTAGCTATAATAAGAAGTAGTAGTAGATTAGATTACTATTAAATACAAGAAGTCTACTAAATTAATAGCTAATAGATTAATAAAGGCGCTTAGCGCGCTATAATTTACTATATTTATAGCTTAATTAAATATAAGTAACTAACGCGTGCGCCTTAAAGTAAATTAATAGTAAGAATTAGCTAATAACAAAGTAAAGCTTTACTACTAGATAGAGGAGGAAAACGTATAAGATATTAAAGGATAATTAATAAATAAATAAGCTATATATAGAGGATATTTAGCGTAGGCTTTACAGTAATCAACTACGTTACTAGCGCTAAGGGGGTGTGTTAAATGTAGTAGAATTATATATAAATTAACTAGTAAATATACAGTTACCTTATAGCAAATTATTAGGGAATAGGCGGTAAATTAGCTTTACTTTTAGGGTAAGTCTACTAATAATATCGCTAGGATTAGCTAGGGATTTCCTAACTAAGAAATAGGGGGTTTTCCCTATTTCTATAGTAATTTACTATAGATATATAACATAATAGAATTAATTAAGTAACTATTATAATCCCTACAATTTAACATATCTCTTTTACTATAGCGTAAAGGGACCTTATGCTATTTTTTAACTTTATGTTCTTATTATAAAGTTATTATATAAGCGCTATAGACACTATACTATCTAGTTTATTTATTATAAGCTTAGATATATAAAGGGTTAGTGCTACCTTTTAATAGGTATATAGTAACTTAATATAATTAATTTAAGCTAAGGAGAGAAAGGGCTATTTTATAGTATGCCTTTATGTATATAGTATTTAAGTAGGTGCGCTAAGTAAGCGCAAACTAGTTATAGGTGCGTGCGCTATAATACGTTATAGTAGGCAAAGCCTTACTATACATACTATAGCTCTGGCCTGTAAAAATAGTACAGCCTGTAGCTAGAGTTTAACTAAGATATAGACTTAATGTACTTACCTATACGTATAGCAGAACAGACAATAGATATATACACAGCCTAGTTATATACTCTTGTTACTAGCTTCTTATATTTAACCTAATTATTCTCTTATAATTAGTAACCTAGATAAAGAAAGTAGTTCTTTATACTAAACCTCCTTAGTTATTTATTTTTTACTAACTTAAGAGAGCTCTTCTGCCTAAGGATCTTAGGTAATTTATATATAATAAACTAGATTATACCTATAAGCCCTAGGAATTAAAGGTAGAGGTTTTTAGGCTAGGATAGCTTTATTAACATACGTTTCTTACAGATAGTGTAGTGTTCCTAGGAATAGGTTTATGTTTATAACGCTAGCTAGCGGTAAACTACTTATAATATACTATTATAGTTCCTTCTACAGGGTTTAGATTATCCTCTACACTATTAATACTAAAAGTAATATCTTTTATAAAATCTTTTAAACACCGCAGGTTATATAGGCTTAGGCTTAGGTTATCTTTAGCATAGTATATTACGTACCTAGAGAAAACATACTGTTAACAAGACTGCCACTAGAATTAAGTCTTAGTTAAGCTTACTAGTTTTAAAGATTAACGATACGCCTATATTATCTTAATAAATTATCTATTAGCTGCCTAAATACAGTAGAATTATTAATCCCCTCCTTACACTGTTCAGAGCCTTTCTCTCTCCCTTAGCAGAAAAACTTATTAGCGCTCTTTCTAGGTAGCATAACAGCTGCTACAAAGGATTCTAAATTAAGATAAAAAGCATTTACTAAGAAAGCTAGGTAAGACAAATATATAGGTAGTATTATGTAATAGGAAGGAGGGAGGACATAAGTGTAAGTAATTATAACTTTATAACTAACTTACGTAGTCAGCTTCTAGCAGTAAAGGAGACAGAAGCAAGCTAATATATATAAACATCTTATAAGAGCTAGGTAACAGGCGCCTAGATATTAAGGTAACTAAGAGCTAGGTTACTTGCCTGAACCTGCACTTATCCTGTCTCCTGGAGGTGGTAGCTAAGTCCCTGTCTATAGTTAAAGTCACATAAAGTTGACGATCTGGAGGAACAGCGAGGCGGTGTTGAAATTTGAGTGGACGGTTGGATGCGTCCTCGAGGAGGGGGTGATTGAGGTGATTTGTATCCTGAGCAGCACTGAGCACAGGTGATGCGAACCTGAGCAAGAGCGGCGATGCTGACTAACCTAGCTGGGACACAGCGGCCTCAGGTTTCGTGCACGGCTACCTAGTAATCCTGCGAGCTAGGTAGCTTGCGGATAAAGAACGGCGTTAGAGGCTCTTCGAAGATGCCCCCCCCCGGCACACCAGATAGTACGCCTTCTTGGGATGAGGTCACTGGGTCAGGCCTTTTGTGGTTGGCTTCCACCACTGCAATTCGGGGTGCTTTTGGTGCCATTCAGGGCGACATGTGAGTCTCTCGGGGTGGTCCCAGTTACCCGCAATCCTCCGAACACCTCAATGGCTTCGTGTTCGGCTAACATTTGTCAATTGTTCCAGACGGAAGTAAGGTTCGGCATCAACTCTGGTGGCTCCTTGCTCAGTCGTGCCAGGTCCTCCAACTGGCAGCCCTGGGCGCCTCTTCAGTGCACCTATGCCTAGTACTTGACGATGACTAAGTGTTCGAGAATCTCTTGCACTCTGTGCCGGTGTGGCGCTATACTGGGTGTGGCTGATGAATTTGTCCTGCTTTCGGAGGAGGGAATTCGTATTGTGGCTCTGCCATGCTGACTTATCTTATAAGAGCACCACGTGATCTTGCGAGGCTCGAGCTTTGCTTGCACCTAAGCTCGATTCGTAGCTAAGCTGGGCGGAAGGCAGCCTTAGCAGTTACGATACCACCACCACTACCTTGCAACACCACTACAAACCAAACCCACCGCCCTCTCGCCGACCCTCCTCCATCTCTTCACGAACCCGAACTCAATCGACCTCCCGAAGCTACGAAAACACCCCTATCATGCCTGCCACCACCGCAGAGACTCTGTCTCTCGTCCAACGGAATGTCTCCGTTGCCCCTCTCGTGCTTCTTTCCGTTGTCGACCACTACAACCGTGCAGTAGTCAAGGGATCCAAACGGAGAGTGGTGGGTGTCCTCCTGGGTTCAAATGACGGCAACAACGTCCGCGTATCCAACAGCTTCGCAGGTATGCGCGCTTGCCGGTTTGGGAACAATCAGACCGTCTCTACAAGGCTAATCGACTGTTACAGTGCCCTTCGAGGAGGATGACAAGGACCCCTCAGTATGGTTCTTGGACCACAACTATGTTGAGGGGATGAACGACATGTTCAAGAAGGTCAATGCGAGGGAAAAGCTGATCGGCTGGTATCACTCCGGCCCCAAGCTGCGGGCGTCCGATCTTGAGATCAACGAGCTGTTTAAGCGCTACAACCCCAACCCTCTCCTAGTCATTATCGACGTCCAGCCAAAGGAGGCAGGTGTACCGACGGATGCATACTTCGCTGTGGAGGAGATCAAGGATGTGAGTTCTACATTGTTGCGCAACCAGAGTCCTGGGCTGACCATGATAACTGCAGGATGGCACCACCACGTCACGAACCTTCGTCCATACCCCGTCGATCATCGAGGCAGAGGAAGCAGAGGAAATTGGTGTCGAGCATCTTCTCCGCGACATTCGCGACGTTGCAGTCGGAACCCTTTCGACGAGAATAACAAACCAGCTTCAGTCTCTCCAGGGACTACACCTGCGTCTCCGTGATATTGGCGCCTACCTCCAGAAGGTCCTCGAGGGCCAGCTGCCCGTCAACCACGCCATCCTGGGCAACCTTCAGGACGTTTTCAACCTTCTGCCTAACCTTTCTACGCCAAAGGGCGATGGAAAATCGAGCGGCGGCGAACTCTCCCACGCCATGAGCATCAAGACCAATGACCAGCTCATGGCCATCTACTTGAGCAGTCTGATCCGCGCCATTACAGCCTTCCACGACCTTATTGAGAACAAGATTCAGAACCGGCAACAGGCAGAAGAGAAGGAGGCCAAGAAGGATGAGGCGAACGGCAAGGACGAGAAGAAGGATGAGAAGGCGAACGGTGTCAACAGCGAGAACAAGGAGACCTCTGACAAGGACAAGGAGGCCAAGGAGAAGAAGAAATAGAAGACCATGTGGCGTAGCGCACCGGGGGAACACACACAACACTCACACGCGGAAACCGATACCCGCGATAGACATTAGGGCATGGGCATGGGCATGTCATGATATCTCGGCGTCCAGGAGGCCAGGCCAGGGGGGGATGGACATATTCGCAAGAGAAGAGTATGCCTTGTACAATGACAGTATGTTTTGGCTGATGATTCTGAGCTGTTAATCACTTTTTTCGTTGCTCTCGTGATCACGCTAGGTCTCGGAAACCAACCCCGCCATCTCCTCCCTACTGACTCTCTTCTCGGTGACATATTTTCCCAGCTCATCTCCCCACTGCTCAGATAGCAGACAAGCAAGCAAGTGCTTGCAGCACGGCACATCGCCGCTATCTATTCCATCCAGACTTAGTCCTCCAAACTGCCAGCCGCCCATTCCGCCCATTCCGCCCTCGTTGGAGTCATCATCCGCATCGGCGCCCTTGATCTCATCCTCGAAGACATCTCCCGCTATAGCAGCGCTAGCAGGAAATGCTTCGAAGGCAAAGTTGGCGCACGTGCAATTCCAGGCGTCGAGCCGGACGAGGTACGTCGTTGAAGCCGAAGCTGACGTCGCAACGGCGTAGTTTCGGCGGGTCATTGTCGAAGCCAAGGAACGGACGAGGTGGAATGCCGCCGAAGACGATCGGGGCACTTTTTGGGGATGCGGAGAGTCTTGAGAAGAGAGGGGTGTTGAGGGCCGTTGTGCATCGGCGGCGCCAGCGTTGTGGGCGCGCTCGGGCGAGCGGCGGTGGTGAGCGGGTGCGGGGTCGGCGGGGTCGTCCCCCCCGCGCCCGCGCCCGCTGGGCGAAGCCGGTTCCGGCACCACGCGCGTGACGAGGTTGCGGTCCAGAAGGTCCAGCGCCGGGAGCACTAGTGATGGAAAGAGGACGTGGAGGGTGGCAAGAAGTGTGCGGTGGGACTGCGGCAGCGACCTGAGCGGGTTTTGCGCGCCGTCTGTTGTGACCGTGTTTGGCGACGGTGGCGGGAGAGAGGCCGATGTGAGGGAGTTGATGAGATTTGTGATGACGACCCGGGGCGCGGGGAGGCAATCTGGGTGCGATGATGTTTGTAATAATGACATTCTGGTCGCCCTGGTGGTTTTCTCAATGGTTTGTAGGTAGTGTGTAACGAGGAAGTTGGTTTGAAGTTCATGAGTGTGGGGGCGATGAAATCGACTACGAGCATATAGTATAGACTGGACTCGGATGTGCCTCGATGAGACGATGTCCCACCCTGTGCCTTTTGTTGCCGACCATTAGAAGTTTGGAGGAGATTCCAAACGGCATTTGTCACCGAAGCCTCATCCTCATCCTCGAACTTGTTCACGAGATAATGGTCATGTCTCGAGTCTCAACAGAGCATCTTCAGTGCACAGATCGACTAAGCTAAAATAAAACAAAGTGTGAATAAGAAAAAGGAAAAAAAGGGCTCTTTGCGAGTTTTGCCGCCTCAAGGCTTTTGTCTAATCGCATTATGTTCGCCGCAAAAAAAGGCATCATAGTACAGCTAACATTCGCTCTATCCGTTGCTGCATATCCGGTATTCCCCCCGCCCTATTATCTGGGTTCGCTCTACACCCACTCCTTAGGGGCCTTGAGCACATCCACCAGACGCTGCTCTCGGCTCTTGGGCTCGGGCTCATGCATGTACTTCCAGCTCGCCGTCAGGGGCAAGCTCATCAGTATACTCTCGACCCGTGAGCCAGGAGTGTTGAGGCCGAAGGCGGTACCGCGGTCGTGGACCAGGTTGAACTCGACATACTTGCCGCGGCGGATCTGCTGCCAGTCCTTCTCCGCCTCGTTGAATGGCATGTCCTTGCGCTTCTCAAGGATGGGGAGGTAGCCCGGCAGGAAAGACTTGAGGCAGTCCTGGATAAAGGCGAAGGTGTTCTCGCGGTCTTTCTCGGTCTCATCGAGGTCGTCGAAGAAGATGCCGCCGATTCCGCGGCACTCGCCACGGTGCTTGTTATAAAAGTACTCGTCGCACCACTTCTTGAAGCGCGGGTAGTAGCTCTTGTCGTGCGCGTCGCACGTCTCCTTGAGCGTCTTGTGGAAATGCACGGCGTCCTCATCGAACAGGTAGGAGGGGGTCAAGTCGCTGCCGCCGCCGAACCACCAGGCCTGCGGGGTGCCGTCAGGGTTCGATGTCTCAAAATAGCGGTAGTTGAGGTGGACAGTCGGGGCCATGGGATTTTTGGGGTGCAGGACCATGCTGAGGCCGGCGGCGAAGAAGGGCAAGGAGTCGACGTCGGCGTCGAGGTTCTTGTGGTTCACGCGCATCTTGGCGATGGCGGGCTTAGGGAGCGTGCCGTAGACAACGGACACACCGACGCCGCCCTTCTCGAAAACGTTGCCATCCTGGAGCACGCAGGTGATGCCGCCGCCGCCCTCCTTACGACTCCATTCATCTCTGCGGAACTTTCCCCCGTCAACCTTCTCGAGCTCCTTGACGATGATCTGCTGCTGCTCCTTGATGAACTTCTCCATGCGCAAGCGCATGGGTGAGTCGGCGGTGATCTCGGCGTCCTGCTTGGTCAGGGCATCGCGCTCGGCCAGGGTTGGAGGGTCGAGTTGGAACGGTTCCTGGACAGCCTTGATCGGGCAAGAGTTGTTAGCATTCTGAAAAGCTTAGCGGGGATGCAAGTATGCTAGCAAGGGCGCTGGCATCGGTAAGTAGGAACTGCAGTACCATCTTGTAGGCGAGAGGTGCTGCAGCGGCAAGGCCAATTGCTCCAATGAGAAATGCGCCGGACGAATGACTCTTGAATTGAGACTTTGAGGAGGATGAGACGAGTCTGCGACCCAATTGCAGCTGCTGCTGGTTGGTGATGGCGATCCTGGTCCGGGAGCTGCTGAGTTGTGCGAGCAATCTGTGCGTATGCCTTGTGAAAGCCATGGTGGGCAATTGATATAAATACTAACTATAACGGAACAATAAAGGGCAAAATGAGTGACTCGAGTAATGACCGAAAGATCGGACGATCCTTCTCATGCGAGAAGCATAAGACCACTGGGAGGCAGGCAATCGTGGACTGACTAGATGTCGTTCGAGCCAGTCAGGCCAGCTGTAAAAGTAAATTCCGAAATCGTTCCACGTTCAATGGGCGGAGCCCCCTGCCTCGGAAGCGATGGGTGCAGAGCTAGACCGTCCGGTTGGGAGGTGGGGGGGTGAGTACCTAGTGCATTGCCGCCGAACGCCGGAGACACTGCGTTGCCATGCCCCTGTACCTGCGGTCGCTGTTGTGCCTGAGGTGCGCCCCCAGAATCTGTACTTCGTCTTTGCTCGCCCAGCCCTGTAATGTCACTCACCCCTTCATACTACCTAGGGAGGCACTCGGGTGACAAAAAACAGGATACCTTTTTCCAACACCACCAAAACACCACAACTTCCAGCAATTCAATACCCCGTCCAAAGTGGGCAAAAGGCTCTTTTTTTTCTGCCATTGGTATTTTTGACCTCGAGAAACTAGTGAGCGACTCGTAATTGTGCCTTTTTAGGTTTATCAAGAGCTGGGTGGCCTATCGCGACGGTGGTGGTAGTAGTGGTAGGTAGGTAAAAGGTATCCTGTTTTTTGTCACCCGAGTGGGAGGTACGGTGCTGTGAATACCAGGACAATGGATCTTCGAGGAACAACATAAATGACGGAAAAGGAGGTCGAATGAACCGCATGGCGATCCTTGACCAGATCCTCTTACCAATTGCATGCAAACTTGGCCTTGCCACTCTTCCAGGCAAAGTAACTTCCAAACCTCCCCGCTGGTGACCAAAGCCTTCCACCTACCCATCTTGTCTGCTCTGCAATATTTTCAGTGTCTTTTACCTCGCAACTAGGTTTTTAACAAGACCATGAGTGGAACAAAGTCTGTATCCGGGATCTTGATCAAAGTACAGGTATCCCAAGGACGGTTATCGAAGGCCCAGAATGTAGCACCTTATGTCAGCTGGGTCGATTAGGCCACTGAGTCCCTGTGGTCAATCAATGTCACACACCATACGCCGCCGCGAGTGTCTATCAGGCTTAGGCTCTGATCGGCGACGGTGGGAAAGTTGGATAACAGCCCGTACCTCGAATAAGAGCTACTTTTCGATTAGCTAAGCAACCCAAAGTGAAACCTTGGCCCGCAAGATGTACCGTCGCCATCCTTGTGCCCGATTACTCACCTGACCGCCTTCCTTTTGCCGCCAGAAATAAGCTCTATTACCCCCTCCTAGTAATACTGTTAATACTATACTTTATAGGTAATAAGTAAAGTTATCTTTATTATTATTATCTTTCTTATTAAATACTATAATAGATAACTAGTAGGGAAAAAAAGGCTTATTAGTTAGTAATAATAGTATTATTATTACTATACTTATTATTAAAGACTTAACTAAAAGCGTGGCGCTATAGCTAAAGAGGTTAAGAGTTATATAGCTAGGTCTAAGTAATAAGGGTAAAGTTATACCTTCTTTAGTTAATAAAGGTATAAGTATATAACTATCTATTAGAAATATTAGCTAAGCTAAAAAAAGGGCTTATACGCTATAAAATACTAACTTAACCTACTGCTTTATAACTAAGCTTATTATCTTTTACTAAAGCTATAAGCTAAATACTTATAGGGTAGCTACGTAAAAGCTAATCTTTAATAAGCTTATAAGGTAAATAATTTATACTACTAGTTTTATAATACTATAATAAGTAAGTAGGTAGGTAATAAGTATAACGTTAAGAGGAAGAGGTATAATACCTAGGTAAGTATTACTTATAAATTAGGTAATACTTTTACTAATAATAGTAAAGTTCTTTACGCTAAAGAGGCTAAAGAAGCCTTTCTTACTAACTACCTAGGGTGTAAATAGGTATTTAAAAAAGGGATAAGGCTACTAGGCCTATACTATAAGATATAAAGCTACGTATATAGTAAAAATAAGAATATTTAGTTAATAAATAAGTTAGTATAGGCAGTAGATTCTTTAGGTAAAAAAGAAGGTATTAATAATAAGAAGGAAGACACTATTAATAATTATATATTATTAAATTAGCCTAGTTAAGTATTACTATTATTAGGATTAATAGACCTTACCTTAAGCCTAATTTAGTAGTAATAGTTACTACTATCTCTATTTCTATTAGTTTAAAAGTAAGGCAGAGCTCTCTTAGGCGCTAAAGCTAATATATATATATAAGCTAGTCACTATAGTAATTTTAGTATAAAGTAAGGTAACTAAGTATTAATAAGCTAAAAGGGGGGCTAATATAAGAAGAGGTTAAGATAAAGGCTAAGATACGCCGCGCGTAGGCTAACTTAGTAAGGTTTAATAAGGAGGTAGATCTTATAGTATATCTTACTATATTAGTAGCGTTAGTAATAAAGTTAGAGAGGTTACTTATATTATAAGCAGTATATTAGAACTCCTTACTAAATAACTAGTTAAAAAAGGCGTATATTACTAGCGTTACAGCCTAGTAAACAAAAAGTTAAAAAAAGGTAGTTAGATAAGTTAAAAAAAAGAAGTTAGATAGGTTAAAAAAAAGGTAGTTAGATAGGTTAAATAGTTACTAGTTATTAATATTTTTTTACTTACTATAGTATATAAAAAAAACTATACTTTTTTACCTTTTTACTTACTACTATTACTATAACTCCTTTACTATCTACTAGTAAATAATAACCTGTTAGCACAACAGGTAAGCTAGTCTCTTAGATAGAGAATTCTAGCTTAGGAGAATATAAGAGAGTATATCTCTTATATAAAGATATATCCTATAGAAGCAAGAATATAGGATAAAAGGGAGATATAAATACTTATACCTAGGGTAGATAAATAGAGGAGATAAGGATATATAGTTAAAAGAGAGTATAGTAGTTAGATTATTAACTATTTGCTTGCTTAGAGAGAGAAGGAAAGGAAACTAGAAATAGGAATAATTCCAGCCCTTATATAGACCTATACAGCTTACTAGAATATTCCATACTTACGTAAGCTGCTTATAAATCAACCCTTAGTTACGTAACATAATAACCTTAAGTAAATAACCCTAACTTAAAACAATAACCTTATAGGAATAACAGAGGTAGAAGGTAGGATCTGGAGAGATCTTGGACATTCTAGTACCTTCTCTAATCTTTAGTTAATTACGTAATTAGACATGCTTACGTAATTAATATATATATTAATCTACTAAGTAAGTAGATTATAAATATATATATCTTATATATATATAACCTCTATAATAGAGGAAATATAAGATAAAGAAGTATAAGAATACTTAGAGATATTCTTACTTCTAATACTCCCTCTTTTGCTCTATTATAGAGTAAAAGTGGTTAAGTGAAAAGAGTTACCCTGGAGTTGCGCAGTAGCGTATAGGGTAAATATTAATAAGTATAATAACTTATTAATAAAAAATCCTAATAATAGTAGGAAAAATATACTATATATATAGGTATATTATATAGGCTTATTATTGTTAAATAGGCCTATAAGCTTAACAAATTCTTGAAATTTAACCCTAGGAAGGGGTTTTGTTAAGCTATCTACAGGCATAGAAGAAGTAGGAATATATTCTACTTCTATATTGCCATTTTCGACTTCTTAACGAGTATAGTAGTAGTATAAGGCAGTATGCTTATTCCTCTGATGATATTCAGGGTTATAGGCTAAGCTTAAGGCTGCATTATTATCTGTTTTAATATTTATAGGGGTTATATTATACCCTATTTCAGATAATAAGCCTTTTAGCCAGACTGCCTCCCTAATAGCTTCCTGTAGGCCATTAAATTCAGCCTTAGTAGTAGATAGGGATATAGTTAACTGTTTTTTAGATTTCCAACTAATAGGACCCCCTAATAAGGTAAAGATATAACCAGAAGTAGATTTTCTAGTTTCTTTACAACTTGCCTAGTTAGAATTAGTATATCCTACTAGATTAAGGGTATTATTAGAGTTATTAATATCTATATTACCTTAATAGGTAATATTATAATTAATAGTCTCTTTTAAATATTTTAAAATACCCTTTCCTTGCTTAAGTAGGAATTCTGTTAGGTTATGGAGGTAACGAGAGGTAAAGGATACGCTATAGGCTATATCAGGCCTAGTCATAAACATAGCGTATATAAGGGAACCTATAAGGCGTTAATATTCCTTTAATAGGTCCTTAGAAGGAGTATAACCTTCTAATTTGTTACCTAGAGGGCTACTTAATATACCTAGAGATATAGGTATATTGTTTCCTTTTGCTTCTAGTAGATTAAATCTTTCTAGAAGTTGTTAGATATAATGGGCTTAAGAGATAGTTATAGATCTTCTAGATCTATCTCTTGTTATATAAAGCCCTAGAAATTTAGAAACTTCACCTAGGTCTTAAATCTCTATATATTTAGAGATTTTACCCTTTATATTTTCTATATACTTAATATCTTTATTCAGTATAAGAAAATCATTAACATGGGTAATAATATAACAAGGATTATTTTTATCCTAGTTATAATAGGTGGCTTCGTTAGATTTTAAAGATATAAAACCTATATCTTTTAATATAGATTTAATCTTTAACTGCCACTGTCTAGGAGCTTGTTTAAGGCTATATAAAGCCTTTAAAAGTAATAATATCTGATTCTTATTATTTTCCTAATTTATAGTATTTAAATTAGGGTATTTATTAAAGAAATCAGATAAAGGGATATTAGAAGGGTCTATATATACCTCTTCTTCTAAATCCCTATATAGAAAGGCTCTAACAATATTAATTTGTTGGATTTCCCAATCTAAGGCTGCTGCTATAGCTAATAGTACCCTATAAGTAGTAGGGTTACTACCTGCAGCAAAGGTTTAAAAGTAATCCAGCCTATATTTTTACTAGAAACCTCTAACACATAATCAGGCCTTATATTTATCAATATTAC